CACCCCCTCGAAGGGCAATATTTGATAAAAAAAGCCCATAAGCCATATCAACTGGTGCCTCACACACAAGAGAGCTGATTGAGTTACTCATGAAACTCTCACCTCATTGTAAGCTGACAACGCTGGGCCTAGGAAACGTCAACAAGAGCCGAGTGAACCGAAAAGTAATAACACAAATAACTACGCAAGGCAGCATACTACACACCCCAGAAATAAAAGATCAATAGTCTGCAGACACATCTAATTACCCTGAGAGCACATTAAGTAAATTGATGAAACAGCGCACAAAGATGCCAAATCACGTACTTTGACCCTACGTTTCAAGAAACCAGGATTCAATTAAAAGATGCCTAGCAACTCTTTCACAAAAAATTGATAGAATTGCAGGGGGCACTTCCATCCTACACACATGAGTAATAGCAGTCCATGCTGACAAAACGTGCATACTATAGGGCCCCAATTGAAAACATCAATTCTATACAATAGAATCCTCGCCAAGATCTTAGAGTTTCTCGATCCACATTTGAAGCAAAATATTCGTTCAAAGTGAGTTCCACTGCAATCGCATTTCTGAATCGTTTTCTCATAGAGAACCCTCCACACATGGACATGAGGAGATAGCTATGGGATAAGGCGAGGTCCGGTGATTATGGAGGAAGTGGTAAACTCCCAGTTCAATTCCTGCATTTCCTTTGAAGTCATCCTGACTTTGTTGGGATAGGAACGTGGGTTAGAAAAATTAAAGAATTATTCGTTTTCTGAACAACAAATTTGGTGGTTTGTCTTTTAACGTTACGTTCAGTCTTCCAAAATGTTTCACCAAATTTTAGCAAATTGTATTGAAATACTCCAAGTAAATCACGCCAGATGTGTAGAAGAAGCTCCAGAAAAACACCAAAATAGAATTGGTTGATTGGTCACAAGTTGTGTTGATCAATTGGCCTATGAGGATGACAACTTGCAGAGCTGTTTCCTCCATGGTAGCTGGATTCAAATTGAAGTCAAACAGCAATTTGTGAAGTGTGACACTTCTTGTTGATGCTACCTTCTAATTAAGTTGTCGTGGATTGACGTCTATGATTGATATTATACCATTTTACCGATTTGTCTCAATTGACTGCAACATTAATCGGATTTAAGGACCCCCCCCCCTCCCCCACGACTCCTCCCCAGATTCATTCTCGTTTTCAAGTTCTTACAAACCTGGTGACTTTAAAATGAGGAGTGAAGAGGTATGAATCTTCCCACTCAATTGGGTCATCAACCAAGCCACCTATTCCTCCCAATGACCTAGCTCCCAATGAGACATTACAATCAAATAATGCTAAAGTGTGGATTACCCAATTATAGTGAAGTAATAATTTTTAATCGAGAAGATGTCTCTGACAAGTTAGATGGTAAATTAAGATTTGCGTTTGACACTCACCTCCTCAGCACCCATCTCCAGGGCGATAAGACCAACAGTGCACATGAGGTGTTCCAGATTGTCCACTTTGTTTGAAGAGTCCTGCATTTGTTGGTACACATTCTCCGTCAACAGGTAGCCGGTCTGCAATAGAAACATTCAAATGGTTTTGATTCCAACTAAGGTTACTAAGCCATAACATGTGGAGATAGTGACGAGAAAATGTATAAAAAGCCTCACAGCTCTCCTCTCCTGTTTGGCCTAAGACATTTTTCAAAGCCCACAGGCGCTACAACACCACCGACAACTTCTAAACAAAATATAATTTTTCCAAATGACGAAAATTGCTCTTTGTTTGAAAATAAGCAATAAGGTATGTATGTGAATGAATCAATACCTGGATAAGCCACACTAAGTGTCATTTAAACCACTCGTTGCAGTCCATAATAGACAATGGATCAAGACGCATTCTCACTTCAGATACATTACATTAACTAATAAATTCAAAACCTCACCTTCAATCAAGTCGTGCAACAATCACTATTTTATCCTACGTGGAAGCAATCTGCAGAAATTACGAATTTTTTTGCTGGAATTGGTATGCTCGAGACAGCCTCCAAAGTTATAAAGGTACCAACTCCCACGGGAAGGCAAAAGTTCACTAAGGGGGAGCGGGGGCAGGGTTGGCCAAATCGATAATCAACCTCTGCACTTTTAGCTCTTAATATTTTTCTTGCGAAATTAGAACGTGGTAATTATTATTACTATTATTAAAGTCTTAATTTATTAGAATATTAATGCGCTAGAGACTAGTGTCCATAGTCAAATAACTAGTACAATTTAAGTCGAATATGCAAACATGGAATTGAATATCCCAGAAGTAGATAATTTTTAACTTAATTTTAAGAAAGAAATGAGGTGACACACCTTTTTCATGAACAGGATATCCTGTCGAGAAGGCTTCTCCCAAGTGTAGACGTTCATCACTTCATCCGGAAGGTAAATTCTGCAAGAAGGAAGGCAAAATTAAATCGTGAACTTCAGAGGTAGGCAAGAATTATGAGGTAAAATAAGCTGTTTGGGGAAATCCGGCAAAAACGAGAATTCTACAGACATCTGACCGAACTGCGCTACGTGTGTGGCATGCATTTCAAATGGGAGATTTCAGACGAAAGTTGCCGGCAATTTGCAAATTACCGAAAGAGACAATAGGCGATCAGAAGTGAGTTCCCAGAAAGTCCCAGATTCTGTACTAAGAATCTCAAAAGCTAAAATTCCACATAATGAGTTAGCACACTCTTAAATTAAATTACATAAAGTTTTCCGTCGCAGGACACGCGACTAACTAAGCCATAGAAAATGCGTGCAATTTTCCGCTGGATATAAAATGGCCAGGGAATTGTTCATGTAAGAATATCAAAAGATAAAACTTAATTAATGAAAATCGATATCCAATAAAGTAATCCATCTTGCGAAGAGAGTAATCTTTAACGGAGCCTAACAATCACAAATATGTCAAATCAATGACAGTAATTAACACCCCCAAGGTCGAAATAAATCCCCTCTTTTATTGATCGATTTTTTTTATTTTACCGCCCCTCCCCCACCCCAATCCCTCCCCATTACCAACAGGAAATGAAGTATTCAATACACTTCGAATTTTATCTCAGGTACGAATTGACACTGACTAATTTGAACAAAAGCTTGAGTAATAAAACCTTGGGTAATAATTATTACGAGAAAATATAGAAAATGATAATGCCAAGAAACAAATATAACAACATAAAGCAGAACCAGAGGTTCAAATTCAGAGATGAAGTGAAAAAGAGATTAAAAGGCTAACAATAGAATGGATTTCAGAAAATGCAAGAGGCATTCTTATGAGGAAAAAAGGTTACCTGACTTTGAGAAGTTTCGGGGCGTTATTATGCCTATCAATAAGAGCATGGAGGATCTTCTGAACATAGACTCTAATGGGAGCATCAGGATCCATAGCAACTCCGTGGAGTAGAAGTCGTAGGAAATCTGAATCGATGGCATTCGAAATGGCCACAGTCTGGTATTGAGTAGCGACTGTCAACATAGTTTTCACAAGCACCTTAACCATTGGTTTTGAGTAATCTTTACTATTCGATCGACCACTAAATAGCAAAAACAAAACGAGTTGTCAGACCAACTCCCTCAAATGCCAACTGTGAAGGGGATTTGAGGTCTCAACCTACCTTGGCAAGGGATCAAAATTAAGAATAAACTTAAGGATCTCAATTTTCTGAGCGTCTGGGAGATTTTTAGCGAACTCAGCGATGGTATTCATAATTGCGTCATGGAAACGTTGTTCCTCTGCTCCAACTCCCCTTGTGGTCTTCTCGATACTGGATCGCAGAATCTGAAATTTAAAAAAAAACATGGATAAATATTGCTATTATCATTATTATTATTTCAAATGGCAGGCGTTTTGAATAGTTATCATTAATCATTTAGCTGACTTCGGGCTTCACAGAAGAAAAATCAATATGAGAAAATTTTGAGAGGAGGAACAAAAGAGTGACGACTTCACAGAGAGGAGGAACAGGCAAAGTCACAAAATGTCGAGAGGGGGAACAGAAGAGTGGCCACAGACGTAAAAGAGACAGACAGACACAAAGGTAGAAAAAGGTGAAATTGGCAAAAAGTCGAGAGGGGGACAGAATAATGATTCAGGATGTAAAAGAGATAGACAGACACAAAGGTAGAGAAAAAGTATGTAAAAGAGACAGACAGACACAAAGGCAGAGAAAAGGCAATATGAGAAAAAGAGGCAGACAGACACAAAGGTAGAGAAAAAGGGAACAGACACAAAGGTAGAGAAAAGGTGAGATGAGTACTGTGTAAGTTGTGGAATATGACATACAGTGAGGTGATGGTAGTTTGAAGTCAGAAGTCAACTCCCAGTTAATAGACCTTATTGTCGTATGAGTACACGTTGCCCAGGGTGCACCAAGTGGAGGTAAGTCTATCGCACACCACAACGTGGATAAACAAGTAACGACCAAACCACGACTGAACTATTTTAGAGGCGAACTAAATCAACTTAAGAATATTCTCGAATGTCCAGCATGACAACAAAACACAGGAATATTAAACACGATGAAATTTTATGAATATCTTGCAACTCGCAGAGCGCGTCCCGGCAAAATTTGTTTGTCTTAAAGTAAGGGCATAACAGTTCGGTTAAAAATTATTTACCAAAAATTGCAAAAAAGCATTAGGCGTAAAACTGACCACTAATATGACATGGAGGATGCGTATAGCAAAAAAATTAGCCACACCAATTGAACCAGGCAAAGTTCCAATATCGGTTTTGGTTTTATCCCACAAGTAGCGACTTAATTTACTGACTGATTTCAGTAACACAAAGTCCACTAGAAGTCAATGGATATGGCGAAGGCGTAATTAACAAATTTGGCTAAAAATTGGAAAAAAATTGATTACCTGTAGGAGAGCCTTGAAATTATGAAAGACGTCAGGACCAATAGCACCTTTGGCAAGCGTAATAACTGTTTTATCAATAACCTAAAGTAAGGAAAGAACATTCGTAAATCAAATAGCTAATAAAAATTAAGATCAGATAAAGAGAAAGACCACGCAAATGATATATTGAGCGTGAAGAAAAAAGATGGAGTTAATCCCAAATAATAGTTACTTTAAAATCAGACGAAATGTGATTACGCAGTCGAAACTACTCTCCATGGCACATGGTTCACAGCAACTGATAGCTATGTATGAGAACCACTTTCACATTACATAAATCGATAAATTGGAAGTTTCTAAACAACGTTCGATATAATCTATTAAAGGGTGCATTTCTTTTAGTTGCATACTTGACCAGAGGGCAGTTCAACATTTACACCGCATTTCAATACACCTTAAAGTTAGGGATCCCAAATAAACCGAAATTCCCAAGTAGATATAATGGTAATACAAATCATTAACGTCAATGATGGATTCCATATTCAACAAAATGATTTGACACCCCAACGGAATGCACACTTTCCAAAAATGAGCACATAAACACCGACATCAATAGCTTTTATCTCTTCATTCCATCTACTTAATATACGCAAATGAAGAACACAGTTTGAATCAGTACAGAATGCTCAATCACAGATTAACTATTTTCGGTGACACAGAAACAACTGCTATCCTCTCGATCAGAAAAAATCGATAAGTGTGATAGGACATTCCGCACCAACGAACTATCACATTACCTTAACTTTCACAAAGTGGCTTTATATTCAGTTCAGATGTATGAGAATTAATAAAGAGAAGAATATGCTTTTTTCACATAAATCTAAGGTATAAACCGGGCACGGGATAGAGATATGAATACACAAATCATGTAATAAACGTAATATGTGCACTTACCATGACAACAGAGATTCGTTGAAGAGTGGTAAGTCTGTTATCATTTTTACGGAGATACTTAATTAATTCCTTTACAAGATTGTGGGCGACTTGCATATTCTATGAATAAAATAAGAGAATAAAGAGCGTGTCAACAAGTAGATTAGAATCAATTATAATTAACCAATACTCACTTTGATTGAATCCAATAAATAGCCAAAGACAAGGAGTGGAAAATCGCTTGGAACCCAAATTCGATGGTTATCAAAGTGGCTAAATAGAAACAATAAAAAATCAGATTCAAAATCACGTTAAAGTGATAAAATAGGGGAAAAGAAGAGAAGACCTACGTTATCATGGCAGATACAACAGGGATAAGGTTTGTGAAAGAGGCTCGGCAAACGACATCTTTAAAAACAAAGACAGCTTGACAACCCGGATCAGATTCATCAGCCTCATCATCATTCGGAGGTCTTTCGTGGATGTTGAAAAGGAGAGCTGGAATTATTTTCTCCATAATCTGCAGAGCATTCATTCGCAACTGACCTCGAGCAGTTTTCCGTACAACTCCTTGTAGACCCTTTATTCCGGCTACTCGAACTCTGAAAGTAAATTGGTAGACAATAAAAAACGATTGTCTTACTTTTTCCTCTCAATTTCATTTGGGAGTTTTGAGTAAGCCATTCTGGTGAAATGGTCGACCAAATCATCATATTCCCTGTGATAACTGGGCGCATCTTCTTCGATTTGTGAAAATGCAAGAAACTGCAAGAATGTAAAAAATGTAATAAATATTCATACCGATTTTGTTCCAAGGAGTTGAAGCTCTGGTAAATCTTCTTCTAATAACTGCAACACCATTTTCAAGAAAGAGGAATCGAAAAGATTGAGTTTAAGGCGATAACAGGTGTTAACTAAAGCACTGATAGCTTCCATAGTGATATTAACATTTCTGAATGGTTAGCAATTTAACATCTTACGCATAATTTCGGTGATGAAGATCAGAAGTTAACCTTTTGTGAAGATATTTAGCAATATTATCCAACTTGTCTGGTTTCCTTGCACAATGGCATACTAATTTATCTATTCCTTCCTTTAAATTAACAAAAAATTATAAAGATTAAAAGTTACCGAATGATTTCCAGTGTAAATATTGTCAACGAGCTTTACCCATTTCGGCCTACATGGGCCACACCCGAAAAGAAGGCGTCCATCCAGGCGCCTAGGCATTTTGGTTAAAAACAACAGGCTAGAAAAGTACAGTTGACTATGATAATGCAAAAATTCAAACCCAGCTGATTTTGGGCTGAAGGTTATGAATTGATATGTTGGAAATTCGGACATGTATTCATTGATAAGAAAGTGAAATTATACATTTTTAGCTTGAAATCATTAATAAACTTTTTCTGCCTTTAAAAATTTCTTGTGGAACATGAAACTATTAAACTTGCCCAAACTTTTTCCTGAACAACCAAATTCTATTTTAATTAATTTTGCCACTTATGCTCTTATTTAAAAGGTGACTTAAAGCATCAATAATGGATGTTTTCAACCATGAAAACGATGCTTATAAAACAATTTTAAACTGTTGATATAAATGTTATTAATTTATATCAAATTGCAGGCTTTATGATATTATCATTATCTGCCTTCACAAAGTTAAGGCACATGTATATATAGGCATTAGAATGGTTGACAGTATCTCCTTAGTTGACTTCTGGCTTCCCAGTAGCTCTGAGCGTCTGCCGTTTTCTGTAGGGCTGGACATCGTTATAGAAATAGTTAATTCCTGTATTTTATCTAATTTGTTCAAGTTTAGTTGCTAGATGTTGTTTGAACCAACTTCAGAATAAGCTAGTGAGATTATAACAGCAGCCTATGTTAAAGAACCTTATATGTAGATAAAACTACAAATGTTTCAATGCATGTTTCATTGATTGCCATTTTCAACGGCATTCAGTTACATGAGAGTTAAGTTTATACAAAAATGCTTCTCAAACTGTCATAAAATCGAAATGTTTTTTATGATTCTATACTAATACACTATCCGTCGGCATGTCTATAGGCTACTGTTTTCCTTATTTGCTAATTCTCTCAGTTTAAGTATATGCATTTTTTACATTCATTTAATCCTTCGTGAACGACTAAACTCAATGTTATTCCCTCTAACTCTTCTCTATAAGCATCTGTTGGATAAAATGGATAATATTACAAAAGAACTTTTATTTTGAAGCATCTTCGATCTACAAGGAGGGCAATTATGAATTATGAGCCAAATTATATTAAAATTAATTAACTAAAAATGGCACTCTTCGTTTCTAGATTTCTCCTTCACTCTTTCAATCTCTCTCATATATTTATGTCAATTGGTTTACACTCAAATGCTTTTTTTCTTATTTGAAATTGGTATTCACTTGTGAAATAAACCTCATATGTCAAATAACTAAACTACTAATCCACTGATCTATCTTCTTTAATATCCATGTTACGAAATTCCATTTAATTCTGTCCTTTAATATGCAGTCTTAAAAAAGTAATAGAGCTAAAGATTTGTTTACTTTCTCAATTAGTGCAGAAAGCGGTGTGGTGATAATTTAACAAAGGTCAAAGCGAGTCTAGCTGAAATTTAAAATCGGATGCTGGGCTGATGAAATAAGATAAATTAGATTCACTTAAAATATAGATTAGAAATTGCCACCAATGGGCAAAATATAGCTTAGTTAAACTTTAAAGGGCGATTTAAAAAAATTAAAGTTCGCATCTCTCATAGGAGCTACTTTTCTAATGAAAGGTTTCATACTGATGATATTAGATCTTCATACGAACTTGCCTAGGGTGAAAAACCATTACTGTTTCTCTTGGAATACTATTCAAATATTCTATTTTTCGATGAAATTTGTCGTTCACTTGAAAATTTGAACTTATGCCTAATCTATTTATGGAGGGCATCCAAAAAGTAGTGAAAATTATCGTTCCCCGCATTTCTAAATATTTCGAAATAAAAGTTAACAAATTATTTGCTGTTTTTCCGTTAAATTAAGGATAGCCATTTTGGATTACTGTAGGAATATAATGGGAGTTGAGACCGCTAAGCTTGTGTTTTAGTTAACTTTATCATTCCATATAGGAGGTTGGGTTATAAACAACGAATTGCGATCAACAAAATATGCTACCCTTAAACAGAAATACGCGCTGCGACAAGCGATCTGTAGGGTTTATTGAGTCTAAAATATATTTAAAAATTCTTTTAGTTAATTAGACTTTAGACTAATGTCTATATAACTCGGTAGATTAAACAACGCATTAAATTTTTGGGGTCATTCTATGGCATTCTTGGCTAAGCTACGAAATTTGAAATTGATCTATTAGCTAATATTAACAGTAATTAGCACTTTTCACTCCATATGTTCTACCTTCTGCTGGACAACTTTTACATATGTTTACTTAAGGCTTATTTGCACGTCAGCTCCCGCAACGCAATGCCATCATTGTAACGGCTTTTATCATTACTAACACTATTAAGAATTATCACATTTATACATAAATTAACATGGTTTCTTCTTCAAGTGTTGTGCGGAGGGATTATTCGATAATATTGAGTTCGGAAACCTTCTCAGTCATGGTAAACAGGTACAGCGATCAATCCATATACAGAGAAAAATTATTAGAGTTTAATTAACGTATCTGTTATCCGAAACATTGCTTCAACTTTAAAGAAAATCAAATTTATGGTCCATTTCTAATACCAAATTTATTATTTAACGGAATCTATAAGGTTGATTCCAAATAAATTTTAATTAAATTTTACTGATAAAATGTCATAGATCTTTCTGTTTCGGTTGCAAAGTCTTAAGCATTTATTCCAAAATTTTATATAGGTACAGCAACCTTTGCGCATGGTTCAAAATGGAATGGAAGGTCGTTTACCGTGTGTTGCACTCTCTAACATTATTTGTCTATGCAACTTTAGTATGGATTTGTACATATGTTCTCGAACCCAAAAGCATTTTCACTCGATTCCGCGACAATTCTCTGAACTCTACAGACACTCCATTCTTGATGGTTAATAAGCCTATTCAAGAATTGGATCATATTTTATTTGTTATCTATGAGGATAATTTATCAATCTCCACTATATGTCATTTGATTATTATTTGTATTAATCTTCAAATCAGAGATATTTCAATTACGGCTAAGTCAAGTAAGTGAATAATAAGTTAATAATTTAAAGTGTCCAATGTTCATTTATCTAAAATGGTAACCTCCTACCTCCGTAAGAATCATGGTGCAATTTGCATTGAATACTGTACCGACAAAAACGTTCTTTGTAATCGAGGTAACACATCAAGCTTCCATTAATGCTTTCTTCTATAGTTTGCTCTAAAGAACGGTCCTCAAACGTCCAATTTCTAGACTTAAATAGCGGTCACAATATGTTGTCTTCGGCTGCAAAAAGTATCGCATCATCTAAAACGCCTATCACTCCAGGTGTAATCGATAAAACTCTTCAAGGTACCTATCCAATGTCGCCTGTATCTCTGACCCTTATTTTTGGTTCACCGTCGCTTATTGGTCTCTTACCTTGGCAGAGTAGCTGTACTGAAATATTGTGAGTTGTCACTCCTGTTTATCCTCTTTGAATATCAATTTTGTGCCTTTATCACTCATTTTTTGGTGTTTAGAAAATGGCCAAGTCATACGAAAATGAGTTCAGCTGACTTCATTAACATTCTCCATACATATTGTGGAATAACAAAACGGTGGGGTCGGTAACGAAAAGGAATTCCACCATTTTCTCTCATTTCATTGGATTCCTTAACCGTGTAAATTATTTATATTATTTTGTTTTGAAATAAATCTTTCCGATTTATTTATTTGTTATCGAACTACGTTGGCTTTATGTTTGATGCTATTGACCAGTTAGGTTGATTTTATTTTTACTTGTGATCTTTCGTGTTAGCGTCCACCTTATTATGCTCCAACGTTTTCGTTTGCAATTTAACAAGTATCTTTCGCCCCTTTTCAAATTTTAATAACTGTTCTACTAAAACATTAGATTATAATCAATTGTTCCACTGCATGAAGTCTTCACTTAGAATCCTCATCACTGGTTCAAACTATAAACACCTAATCATCCCATTATCTTACCTCTACTGTGCTTTATGAGAAAGGTTCGTTTGGCTACCAAACAAGCAAACACAGGACTCATGATGTGGTTCGTGCATTCTTTAAGCACCCTCTACCCAGTACATTTTCGATTCTCCTTCCTCGCTCTGTAGGAGATGGATACCCGCTTTGCGTGTTGAATAGAAGCGTCATATCGTCCTCTTAGAGTCGACTAACTTGCTCTGGTTATTAGCGTTGCCGCTGTTGTCTTAACATATATTGTCGACATTTTGCTTTTGGGTGTGATTGTCTCATTCTTCGGCAGTTTTTATAGATGCCATACTCCTTTACTACTTGATTCGAGTAGTTCGGATGCCTGTACGGCTGCTGTACAAGCAGAAATGCTCTACTCTTTCTTTCAGACAATCCTCCCGCCGTGTGCCGCTTTAGACAAGCTTCACTTTCATATGATAAACTGGGGACTGCGAGGCGCTGTGAGGGCAAATAGATCATAATAAGTAAAATTGAAGTTGGTGCATCCTTGATCCTAGATGATCCTAGAAGTGCTTTATTTCCTCCACCCCCCCCCCTCCATCCCCTCCTTTATACAAGTAATAAAATTAGTAAAAGAAAAGGATTTCATAGATGCGTAAACATAGCCCAAAGACTGACACAATTTTGGTCGTATATATGAGGTATAAATGGATTGAGAACACTTTCATAAATAGGCTTGCCAACCAAAGTACATTCGTCCAAGATTGTTAGGGTCGGTAGCCGCTCGGATAAGAAGGGCTGCGTGTGCCGCGGGTTCAAGGGTATCTAACGAGATTCCATGTGAAGCCGAACTTGCCAGGCCTCCACTTCCAATGCCGCCTACTCTACCCGCCAACTTGTCGCGGACTGTCAAGAGAACCCTCTCTGCCAATTGATTCACGGAATCTAAAAGTGAGGGAAGACATATGCTAATGACGGACGGATGAGCGCGCAAATCTCAAGGAATTATTTATTTATTTATTTCAAATGGCAGGCTTTATGATATTTATCATTACCCTTTAAACTTTGATTTCAGCTTCCCCCAAGGGTGGGGGGG